GTGACGGCATGGGATGGTGTCTATGTGATGGCATGGGATGGTGTCTATGTGACGGCGTGGGATGGTGTCTATGTAATGGCATGGAATGGTGCATGAGATCGAATGTGATTGTGTGTGATGGCATGGGATGGCGTGTGGCTGCATGGAATGATGTGTGATGGCAGGGGATGGTGAGTGTGGTATGGAATGTTTTTTTACGAAATGGTAACGATACCAACCATCTTTTTTTCTAAATGGATGGGATGGGATGGGATGGCATGGCATGGCATGGCATGGCATGGTATGGCATGGCATGGCATGGCATGGCATGGCATGGGATGGCATGGGATGGCATGGGATGGGATGGCATGGGATGGGAAAGGATGGCATGGGATGGGATGGGATGGGATGGGATGGGATGGGATGGGATGGGATGGGATGGGATGGGATGGGATGGGATGGGATGGGATGGGATGGGATGGGATGGCATGGCATGGCGTGCAGTCAGAGGTACACCAAAAGCAAATGGGCAAAAACTAGTAGCAACGACAACAACCTGCCAGGGAAAAAAAAAACGCACACAGAAACTCAATTACACATCCACATTGCGGTTCATACAACGAACTGAGTGGCTTTGAAACAAATTTGCTTGATTTCACAAAATGGGACAGCAAAATAGTGATGGTAGCTGTAAGGAATGATGGGAGCACACCTGCCATCCCAACCAGGCCTGGATTCAGACATACCAAGCCCGCCTGATTAGACACACCTGCTGCCCCACCACCTGATTACACACCTTTCAAGGTAAGGAATAATCCGTGTGACCAACAGAGTGCAAACACTTCAGTGAAAAAAGGAAAAAAAATAAAGACACAGAGACAATTGTTTTCCAGCTGTTCTCATGGAGCTTCAGTCTCACTTCACTTTCCCTAGAATATTTGGTCTATGAGAGAGAAACAGGCAGGATACATGCCAGCCCGTAAGTTACATGATGGGATGATGCGCGAGATGCCATGTAGTGTTGTGTGTGGTTCAATGAAACCGTTCGCATGATGGCATGGGGTCATGTGTGGCAACAAAAACTTTTGCCTCATGAAACAAACACATTACATTAGTGCCAAGAAAAAAATCAACAACAATCCTTCATGCCTGAAATTTGTTCAAAGTCAGAGAGAACGGTATTCTTAGTAATCATCCCGTGAATCATCAGCATCCACATGCAGTCCATACATCCTGCGGATGTCTTCATTAACACGCAGTCGCATGCAGCCTCGAATGCCCAGGTAGCGCAGCATCCTCAGCTCCGTCAAATCGTGTGGCAGGGCTCTCAGCATCGCACAGCCATTCAGAGGAAGTCTTCTCAGTCTAGTCAGCCGAGCAAAGCCGGCAGGCAGAGATCGAATGGCACAACCTGAAGCGTTTATCACATGAAGGCATGTTAGCTGGCTCAGAGGAGCAGGCAGCTGCTTCAGAGCCCCGCATCCGGACACGTTCAGCTTACGCAGTCGAGTCAATGCACCGATGCTGCCAGGGAGCGATACTAGGTGCTCTGATTCCCCAATCTCCAAAGATGTCAAGTGCAGCAGCTCGCACACAAATGATGGAAGTCCTCTTAAGGATGACTCGTCAATTCTGAGGCTTCGCAGCTGCAGCAAACATGAACCAATGCGTTTGGGAAGCTTTGACAGCGCAGCACAGCTCGAAATATGAATGGTGTGGAGGTGAGGGAGAGCTGGAAAGGGTGATGGGAGATCCTCAGCTTCTTCTGCCAATTCCAGCTTCAGCTGCCTCAGTTGAGTTGCACTCGTGCCAATCGCCAGGCTGCATCCAGCACCAACATTAGTAAGCTCCAATTTCCTCAAACTCGGCAGAACGGGTACGTCAAACAGAGCAGCAGGCTGGTTGTAGCTCGGCATGACCAAAATCTCCAGATATGGGGGAAGGGATGCAGGCGGTTCAGTCAGCAAGGTGCATCGAATCAGCTTCCTCAAACCATCCAACCTTGGAGCCGAAGAGAGCCGTTTGCAGCCATTAATGATCAGGACCTCCAGCCCGGTGAGGTGTGAGAACGAGTCTGGAAGTTGAGTGATATAAGAACTGGACGAAATGTGCAGCTGCTGCAGGCTACTCAGGTTTCCTATACCCTCACGAAGCTCCCGAAGCATGCTATGCTTGAGTTGAAGAATTGTTATTGCGGAAAGTTCCACGAACGAGGGTGGGAGTAACAGCTGATTTCTTGAGATCTCTCCCAAGCAGAGTACCTGCAGATGACAGAGGGCTCCGATGTCATATGGAATCATCAACTCTTCGCAATTGACGAGATCAAGTGTTTCCAGGCGTGTGAGTTGGCAGAGGGAGCGAGGGAGATAGTCAAGAGGCAACGCGTCCAGCTCCAGCAGTTTGAGAGAGGTCAATTCTCCGATGTTGTCTGGAATCCTGGAAAACGAATCACAACCACAGATGCGTAAAGCTTCCAAGCGTCCAAGAAGGGTAAATTCCTCTGGCAACTCGGACAAGTTCGGGCACCAAAAGAGGTTTAACTCGCGGAGGCATGATGTCAATCCTCTAATGCCATCATCATCAGTGGAGTCTACTTGCAATCGTTGGAGACTGGTGCTTGGTAAGCCTGACGGAAACATCTCCTGAAACCCATGGTCGCGACCATTGACTTCAAGCGACTTAAGATGAGGTAGCTGAAGTGATGCAGAAGAATTGGAAAAGGAATAATCATTCTCGAACACACGCGTCTTGAAAGAGATTAAAAGGCTGGTAAGGCTTGAGAGATGACTGAGCCTTAGGAACTGCTGCTGGTTAAGGTGTGGGGAAGCTATGTAGAGAGTGGAGAGAGCGCCAAGATTGGTTAGACCAGGAGATTCGAGAGCAGAAGCGTTAGTTAGGGCTAGGGTGTGCAGATGCGACAACTGGAAGAAGGAAGCTGGCAGCTCGACGTCTTTGTGAAGGCAAAAAAGGGAGAGTTGCTCGATCCGTGAACATCGACTGAAGAACCGATCTAATCCAGCTTCAGTTATCGGATGCATGTCTTCCGAGACAGGATAGCTATCATCGTCTTCGTAACTATCATCGTGTTCGTAACTATCATCGTCTTCATCGCTATTATCGCCTTCGTGATATAGATTGATATTCAGTCCCACGTGCAGAGCCCTGAGCATAGGACATGTGGTAGCCAGGTGATGGAGAAACGAGTCGTCTACGGTCTCCACGCTGCCGTCGCCCAAGTGAAGGTGGGTCAGACGCGGGAAGCAAGCGATGGCGTTCGCGAGATCCTGGCGGGAGACTACAACGTCTTCTCGGACAAACAGGCTCCTGACGTGTCTCTGAGCGAGACGTCGCCAGCGACGACAGACGGAAGCTATGGCGAGATTCCACGCGGCGTCTGCGGAAGCTGGAGGTGCTAATAAGGGAGGGATGCTCTTCCTATAAATGTCATACGGATGGGCAGAAATGACCTTCGGCGCATCACTCTCGGATTCACCACAGATAGCAGGCCATAAGATCTCAACAAGCAGCACATCAGGAAGGGAACTGATGGGTGAGAACTCCATCTATGAAATTAAAAGGTACCTAGTAGTATAGTTGCGGACTGTATTAGATTGAAGATAAGGAACTCGCAGCTAATTCCAAGAATAGACCTGAAGCTTGAAGTTGAGGTGGTTCTAAATACTCTTACTGTAAATTGGAATGGAGAGGCATGAGAGGTCTTCAAATGTCCCGACGTCTGACGGTCCACATCCCTGGTAGTGACATCACTGGAGGCAACTAAGGGGTTCGTTTGAGGATTTCAACAACCCCAACACTTCGCTTATCCAAATGCCTCAAGAGTTACTGCTTGACATTTGACAGCTCGAAAGCTATCATGGCGGCGTGCTTCATGGCGGCGTGCTTCTCATCCAACTCTCTCTAGGTGTGGCAGGTTGCTGGATGTTAGCATGGACTCATAGCACAGACCGTGGCAGATGTTGGGGGACTTGGGAACGAGTCGATTGGTGAATCTGCAGGCATTGTTCACAATCCTGCTTAGGCCTTGGTACATTGGGCCTGAATTTCAATGCTTCAGGCTCGAGCCCAGTTTTAAATCTAGGGTTACTCGAATTTCCTACTGTGGAAATTCGAATCCGCATTGAGCCTCACGCTCGAGGGGTATCCTTGTAATGATGTATCCATGTTTCGTTACGCGAATCCCAAATTGGACCACAAAACTTTTTTGGTGCGCGATCTGCCGACCAGTGTGGTCAGGCTCGAGCCAGGCTTGATGCAGGCTCAATTCGGTTTTCCGAGGCTCAATGCACTCGATCGACTGCTCGGATCCTCACTAAAATTGTACAAATGTACCACGGCCTAAATTCTAAGGCCCTTCGGCTTACCCAAATCCACCATCGCAGCCCGAACCCTAGTTGTGCATTTTCTCAAACACCATTCTATTAGCCCGTCGCGTACGCTTGCGCGATGTCGCAATTTTTTCTGCGAAAATACTATCCCAGAGCGTCTCATAAACGGCTAGGGAAAGATCGAGGATGAAAATCATGGCGGGAATCTGGTGAGGCGCCTCGAGGGCTCACGAACCCAAGCGCACTGACACCAACGAGAGTGTTCCCGAGCCTCCCATCACGCTGTTTTCGCCTGACGCGGCTCCACCAAAAGATCCGAACCTGAGCCCCCAGAAAAATACTCTTTGAAATCCGTCCACGCACCTCGTTCCTGGGTTTTCCCACCATTCGATTCGTGTGACGTGGCACGTTACCGGGGCTGGAACTCCAACGGTCAGGCAGACCAGGCATGTGGGCGTGGAGCCGAGGGTTTGGAGCGGGGTGAGGCCAGAGTGCAGTAGAAATGAGGTCCCTTCGGTTGGATCTAATCATTCTCAACTCCTCAGAGCTTTCCGTGTTGGATCGGAAACTTGAATAAAGCATCTCAACTCTGCTACCTCTGCATCCGCTAACGATCTTACTGTTGAGCACCTTCCAGCGATCAGCCTTTGTCAGACGATTCCTGACAGCCGAGTAATGGCAATCTATGCTGATAACTGCGCTGCTAACTCTGCTTTTCAAACCTCGAGCAGTTCTGCAACGCCTACCAGAGGCATTGGCAGGTTCGGAATCCCTAAAACCGTTTTCTCGCCTGCAGCGTACTCTCCTGTGAAGGCTGCTGCTTGCAACGACGACGGTGAGACGTTCTGCAGCAGCGTGCTTCTGAAGAGCGTGAGGCCGCTGCTGGAGAAACTGGCCTCCCAAGGCGTCGCTGACGGGCAACACAAGCCCGCCAAGGTGCACGTTGTACCTGACGCGCCTGATGTGAAGCGGCCTGGAATTGGCCGCTTCGGAGGCAAGCCTGCTGCTGCCGTGCTCGCACCTGTGGTCGTCCCTGCTGCTCCCTCACCATCTGCTGCTGCTGCAGTCACACCGTCTGCTGTGGTTGCGCCTGTGGTGGTGCCTGAGGTAGCGCCTGTGGCTCCAGTTGCTTCAACCACACCACAGGTGGCTGAAGCGAGTGTGACAACAGAAACAATAACTGAGGAGGCGAGTGCATGTGCGGCTGATCCGAGTGAGAAAGCGAGGTGGGCGAAGCTGCGTGAGGAGGTTCGAGTTATGAATATTGCGCTGACACGTGCTGCTTACCTGAGGTGGGACAAGCGGAGCAAGGAGGCCTCATGGGCCATGGAGATTGAAGCGGCCATTGAAGCCGCCCTGCGTCCCTGCTTCTTGCCCAAGCATCCTAATGCTGTGGCGAATCTGACTCGCAAAACCGTGTCTCCTACGTCTGCAGCAGCAGCTGCTGTAGCAGTGTCAGCAGCACCAGCTGCTCCCTCGCCCGCAGCTACAACAACAGTGGAATCACCTGCTGCGGCCTCATCAGTGAGAGAAGCAGCAGCAGCAGCCCAGAAGCCAAAGCCTGCTGTTGCGGCAAGGTGCAAGGTGGGGATTGAAAACGCGAAGGGCAAGAATGGGTGCAGCAGCAAGGTCGTGAGCATGGGTGTGAAGGGTGGTAAGGGCAACAACACGCATGCAAGCTCTGTCCCACGTCCAGCAGCAGCAGTTGCGGGATCACGTGGTGGTGCATCATCAGTGAGTGCAACTTGCAAGGCCAGCAGCAGGCAGGCGAGTGGGGTGAAGAGGAGAGAAGAGGGTGGGTGTGGGGAGGGAGCAGCAGGGAGGGCAGCAGGTGGAAGGCAGGGTGGTGTGAATGCAGCAGGTGGCAGAGCAGTGGCAAGTGGCGTGTGTGGCAGGGAGGGGGTGAAGCAGCAGGCGGGGAGGAGAGAGAGTTTGGTGCATGAGAGGCAGGCGAGGCCAGGCTGCAGCAGCAGCAGGGCGCACAGAAGGAGCTCCTGAAAGAGCCGGCATAGGAATGGCTGCATTCCCACCTGCTGCTGAAAAAGAGCTCCTCACAGCGCTCAATGAAGGACCTTGTCACGGCTCTTAAGGGCACGTGCTGCTGAGAGTATCCCGGAAGAACATGACTGTACATACAGATGTTGGTAACAACACTGAGTGGTGTGGTAAAATAGTGGTGATGCCAATGGAACAGCTACCAGTAGTAGCTGAAATGCATGACGGCGTGTAGGCACCGCTGTGTGCTCTGTATATTACTGTACTAGGATAGGATACTGTATGTTGCTAGGACAAGATCTATAATTGTAATCAGTAGCTAAATTGTTCTACATAAACTTGTGTTCCATCTGAAAGAAGGGTCGGTCACATCAAGCATATTTTTCTTGTGATGAAGAGAGGGCAGCACAGCAAAATAACACCAATGCTTCAACCCTTAGGCAGCTTAAGGATCAATGTTTGTAGGTGCTGTTAACTTTGGAATATGGATATGGTAATCTGAATCACCTTTTCTGATGATTTGTACTACCGTAAACATCCAATGAGCATGCATCGTTCTTTGTCAACAGTGTTTCCTAAGCTGGTTGGTTTCAAAGATTGCAGAGCAAGGAGTAGAAAGTTAATGGTGGAGTGGCAAGTGAAGTGTGCAGTACAGCACACTGTATAGCGAGCTCGCTGGCCCTGCAAGCATGCATTTGCTGTTGCAGCAGCAGTAGCAGCTCCAGCAAGAGCATCAGGCTGTGAGGCTGCTGCAATCAAAGGGGGCTCTGGCTTGCCTTGGGACCGCCGTGCCTGGAACAGCTTGTGCCACGTGGCACCTCCACCCCCATGGCAGCTTAGAAGTACATGGGAACATGGAAACATGTATGGGTACATGGGAAGTGACACTTGATGTGCTTGATGTGACTAAAATCTCAAAACTTGACAAATTGGATTGAATTGAATGGGATAAGATGGGAGTGAATCAGAGGGGGGGGGGAGGGGAGGAAAGATGTGATTGGATACAAGTTAGTGAACACGACTCCACTTTATTCAGCCCGTACCAGAGTGGTATGGGATGGAGGGAATGGAATAGCATGTCAGATGTAGCATGAAATATGGAGCGTGGCAGGATTTACACAACTTCCAACAATTTCGAATGGAATGCGAGGTTAGATGAGGGGATGGGGTGCGATGGATTACGGGGAAAAAAAGCTGAAACAGGGAATAATGAAAAAGCGTGAATATCAAACTGAAGTGGGAGCATTCTGCTGTGAGGCTGCTGAAGCCAACGGGATTTCTCGCTTGTCACGTGGAACCTCTTCCCCTCAAGCTAGTCTCATCGGGATGGGATGAAATGGAATAAGTTCCATTGTGATGGGATGGGATGGGATGCGATGAGATGGGATGGGATGGGATGAGATAGGATGGGATGGGATCGGTTTGATTGGGACGGGATGGGATGATACTGGATTGTATGGGATGGAATGGGGCTGGTATAAATGGAATGGGCTGGTATGGGATTGGTTTGAATGGGATGGGATGAGCTGGTATGAGACTGGTTAGATAGGGATGGGATGGGATGGGATGGGATGGGATGGGATGGGATGGGATGGGATGGGATGGGACTGGTTTGATTGGGATGAGATAGGATGGGGTGGGATGGGATGGGATGGGATGGGATGGGATGGGATGGGATGGGATGGGATGGGATGGGATGGGATTTGGGATGGGATGGGATGGGATGGGATGGGATGGGATGGGATGGGATGGGATGGGATGGGATGGGATGGGATGGGATGGGATGGGATGGGTTGGGTTGGGATGAAATGGGATGGGATGGGATGGGATGGGATGGGATGGGATGGGATGGGATGGGATGGGATGGGATGGGATGGGATGGGATGGGATGGGATGGGATGGGATGGGATGGGATGGGATGGGATGGATGGGTTGGGATGGGATGAAATGGGATGGGATGGGATGGGATGGGATGGGATGGGATGGGATGGCGCATCTCATGGGGTACTGTGGGGAAAGGGATAAATAGTGCATAAGACTTAGTGGAAATACATATTTTCATCCGCTAAGCGTTAACCAGGGTTTTTGCAGGGAAATAAATGTTACATATGATGCTTTAATGACTTTAGACGAGTCAGTGCACACACATATGGAATGACTCAGTGCACATGTGATAAAAGATGTTCTTTGAGACGTCTCAAAACCATCTTTTATCACACATGGCACAATTCAATGCAATAGAGACACACGGCTGCTCAAATGGCATTCCATCTGCTGACATGGCATTCCATCTGCTGACATGGCATTCCAGTTGCTGACATGGCAGGGAAGCATGCCAAGTCACCGATGGTTGCCCCTCCAGTACCGTCACTGCAGGTGCAGCGATTCCGAGTGGGGACGGGAGAGGGATGGGGAGAATCATTGCAGCCTGTGGGGGAGCGGATGTGGACGGAAAGGTGTGGGCGAGGTGAAACAGAGAAGAAGGGAACGAAAAGGTGAGGGTGTAATGAAGTGACCGACGGAATAGCAGGAAAATGTGAAGGGATCGGGGAGAACAGGAAGGGGTGGGGGAGAATAGGAAGTGATGGGGAAGAATGGGAGGGGATAGGAAGAATGGGAAGGTATAGGGGAAAATGGGAGGGGATGGGGTGAATTGCAGGGGATAGGGGAGAATGGGAAGGGATTGGGTGAGTGAGAGTGGAAGGGGAAGAGAGGGAGTGGATTGGGGAGAATGGTAGGGGATGGGAGAGATAATGAAACAAAGAGGAGTGGCAGTGCGAAGAGCAAGGGAGAGATGCGCGGGGCGCAGAGGGGAGGGTGAGCGAGGGAGGTTGAGGTGGGTGAGGGAGGGTGCTCTGGGTGGATGGCATGTGCGTGACATGTATGTATCATGTGATGCCGTGTCATGTCCATGTTACGTGCATGTACATATGTGAAGTGCATGTGTGCATGCATGAGCATGTGAGCATGCGGGAGAGGAGCCATGCGAGCATACCTCTTCATGCATGTCACATGGAGCAGATGTCGCTGGCATGATTTCAGCAGGTCTGAAGACCCACCCAAAAATCGCAATCCATGTCTCTATCGCAAGAAGCTTCTTGCTGCTTCACAACTCTCTCGTTCCCATCACTTCTCCACTCCCTCCCCACCCCACAACCCCTCCTTCCTTCTTCTTGCCCTACCTCACCACTTCGCGCCCTTGAGAAAGTTCCCACATGGGAATTGTAGCAACGGCCAATCAACAGCTGCTGGCGTCGCTCCCTCCATCCCCGCCGAGTTTCCCGCCGCACCCAAGGCCTTCCCTGCTCGTTACACTCCGCCCTTTCATCCCCTTTTGTGACCTTCGCGCTTCCCTATTTAGACTTTTCCCTTCTTCCGCCCTTTCCGCTCCTTCCGTTCCGTCCGCCCGTCCTGATTCCTGCACTCCCGTTCGCTCGCTCACCTCGTCGCGCACTCACCCTAATTTCAAGCCTGCGAGTCGGTTGCGGCGACCTGATTGGGCGAGGGTCTCAGGCTCGGACGCGATCGACGATGGACATGACGGCCACGTGCCGGCTGGAAGACGGCTAACGGTGAGGGTTGCTTGAGAGTTCGCGTTGTCCCGTTAGCATGAAACGGCGAGACTGCAGCGTGAAAGTCGCATTTTGAAAGTGAAACCCTGGAACGGCTGTCTTGAGATCGCTTGTACGACTAGTTCAATTCGTACTCGTAACCAAGGCTCGTAACCGCTTCTGCGATCGTATTCACCTACGCGCTTGTACTCGCCTGCGCGCTTGTTATCGCTTGTGCACTCACGAGTCGCGTCCGCTTGTGATTTGCCTGGAAATCGTGGCTGTCCATGGCTACGCCAATTCACGCCTCATGAATGTGCCTCACTGCTGTCGCAAGATGCTGCACCGCGATCAATATTCTTCAGACCGTTTCGTACCGCACAGGCCTACCTTCCTCAACAAGCACATTTCAAAAAAGGCTTCCACGAGGGTACGGTATGCTATACCTAGGCCCTCTAGCCCGGTTACGACCGCTGGATGGTGTTTTTTGCATTGTATAATGTGATTTCACCTCCAAAAAAAAAAAAAAAAAAAAAAAAAAAAGCACATTTCAAATTCCAAAATTTGTTTATCCAGCCCAGCACAGAAATTCCGATTAATATTGCATTTTCAAAATAAAAAAAACCGCCCAAACGAAAAGACGATTGCTTTTAGAGAGGACAACACAAGAAAGGCTGACAGAGGGACTTTCACTTTTCCCCCTCGATTCTTCGCAGCACACAGCAGGCAATCCCAATGCCTGCTGAATCTGATCCAAATCCGCTGAGTAGCACAGCCCGGCCCAAACCCTTCTGCCTCACACACCATGCTACGAGAGGAAACTGATGGACTCGTCGCGAAGTGCCCAAATGTTGCACAGTGCTGTAATCGTCGCAGCGTTATGAATCCAAGTGGCGAAAGATTCTTCGCGATCTTCTCCTCAATTCCTAGAAATTGTCGCGCAAATTCCACCCACTTCGGCCATTTCCTCCTCACCAGCCCCTCCCCTCGCCTCGCCTCGATCGCCATCGCGAATTTCCCTCCTGCTCCCATCCACCACTTGCCATTCCTGCTTTCGCTGAATGCTCCTCATGGTGAGAAGCTCGCAAGAAGCCTTTTGCCTTCTACTTGGTTCCTACTCGCTCGAGTTCCCGCTGCCTGTAGCCTTTTGCTAATAAATGAAGCATCTATTGCAAGCGACGAGACATTCAGCTGCACTAGCTCTTTCGAGTTCATCCACTACTCCTTTAATTGTTAAAGCGAAAACTGCCTTCAGAAATCCAATCCCACGAAAGTCAGTCCATTTTCTTTCATCCCCCGTAAATTCCGTCCCGAGACCAAGTTTATCGTTAGATTCGTCGTCTCGTCGCACAACAGCCTACACCAGAGATTCTATTCGGTCAAGCTCCACGGTCATGTAAGCGATCGTTTCGTCCGCCAATGGACCCTAGTTCCTTCTTAATTTTTTTCCCGTCACTAGCGTTGCATTGTAGGAGTTCCGACCTTCGCTGTGCACAGGCATCCTCATCACGCGCCGTTTTTCTGTTGTCAGGGCGAAGGAGTTTATGAGGAAGATTCCTAGCAGCTCGCTGTACGTGTCCCGTCCCACGTGGTGGCTGGAGTCGCGCTTCCACTTCAGCTTCGCGGAGTATTTCAACCCGGCCAATCAGGAGTTCGGCGTGCTGCGCGTCCTCAACGACGACCTCGTCCAGGTCCCTCCCACACGCCTTTCACCTTCTTTCTTCATAACTTGTCCTTCAGCCCCTCAATTTGCACCTTGTAGAGGATTTTGCTTGGAGCATTCTAGACTCAACTCCTCTGCTGCTTCCATCTCCCTGTCCCTCTGTGTCGTTTCACCTAACCATGCTGGGCAGCCCAACGCCGGGTTTGGGACACATCCGCACCGCGACATGGAGATCATCACGTATGCCGTGGACGGGCAGCTCACGCACAAGGACAGGTGCGCGCCCCCGTCACTCGCCCCCCCCAACCATCCAACCGTTCTGCTTCAATGCGCACTCTATTCCATTCATGCGCACCAGAACTTTCGTTATAATGCTTTTCATTGTCATCGTGTGATCTTATCTTGCACCTTGACCCTGTCCTGGCAGCATGGGGACAGCGGAGACGTTGGGGCGTGGGTGCGTGCAGTACATGAGTGCGGGCACTGGCGTCACGCACTCCGAGATGAACAACTCCGGCCAGCTGTACGTGCACACGACCATCAACACGATCCACATTCTCATTATCTCTTCAGCCCCGTTCACCCTGCATTCCCTGCTGTAAGTAATTCGCCCTTTCCATGCATAATCTGTTCTCCTCCTTTATCCGTGCGTGCAGGCAACGGTTCATTCAGATCTGGGTGAAGCCGAATGCAAGGGGTCTTAAGCCCAACTATGGCTCGCGCACCTTCAGGTGCGGCCAACCTTGATGCAGCTCTTTGTGCCTCCACATTGTTCAACCCTGGATCCCCCTCACGTCCACTGTGCCTTTGTTTCCTCCCTCGTCGCTCTTGTACAATTGTATGTAGCTCTTCATTTGACTGCTAACATCTTCTGTTTTGTCTTATATGGTATGCTTGGAAATTTCATCATGACCTGCTTCTGAACTGCTGTTGCGTTGCTCCAACCTTTCCTTTTATTCTTGCAGCAAGGGCGATCGTCACAACAAGCTACAGCAAGTGGTGACCAGCTATGACCGCTATGGTTCCAATAAGGATGCAGGATCGGGAATCATTCCCGTGAATCAAGACGTCAACATCTTCGTGTCGGAGATGGATGGCTCGCTGCCTGGTGCTGCTGCGAGGAGCTTGGAGTACACACTGCAGACGGGGCGGCAGATGTACCTGCTGTGCATTGAGGGCGGCCTCACTGTGACTTCCAAAGAGAGTGGCATCAAGGAGATGCTTGATGCCCGCGATGCTCTGGAGGTATGCGCTTCACCCACGTCCTTCATCCCCACTTCTATTCCATTCAAAAATAACGCATTTTCAACCGCCAATTGCCGTGTTGCAGGTTGCTGCGCCCAGCAAAAGTGACATGCCTCTCGCGTTTCGGCCTCATCATGATGCTTCTGGAGCTCATATTTTGTTCCTGGAGATGGCCAGAACAGTTTGAGCTGATGTGTTTAATGCCATGCTGTATTTCATTTTACAGCAACGAGTTGTCTTTATACCAGTTCTTCACGGTGGCAAATGGCAGGGGGTTCACCCACACCCCGCCCACACAAACCAGCCAGAAAGCTTGCAGGAATGAACTCACACACTTGAACTCCCATCACTAGGCTTAGGAGGCAGAACAAGATGCTAAGGAGCATGCTATGTACCCTATCCATTTTCGGTGAACTTTCTGTTGCTTGGGTTGGGCCTCATAACCTGGCTGGCTCACTTGGCTTATTACCATAACAGGACAGGACGGCATCTTTCGTGCGTATTTGTGTGAAATCATGAGGGGTTCGTTCGTCACATCCTTTGGTGCATCAGCTGTTGCTCACAACACAAGCACCAGGTCGCGGCGACAAAGGGCTAGCTTGTGTGGCTACTCCTTACACAAATCATGGCAAGGAATCAAATGACACCAAGGTCAGTGTGCAAGAGGTCGGCATACATGAGCTCGTTCCAGGTGTCAGGCACGCCAGGCAGGCAGCAGTGCACACAGTCACAAATCATTCGCCCCCCGCGCTACAGCGCCATGCCCTGCCCCACCTCAGACCCGTTCACCACCTCCCGTGGCAGCAGCTGCTGCCTGTGGGGCAGCAGCAGTGTCTCTGACATGAACGGATGAGGCAGAGGGGGGGCGTTTGGGAGCAGGGGGAAGGCGACGACGTGGGCGTCAGGGCGCATGAGGGAGAGCGGGAAGGCGACGGGATGGTGGGCTGCCCCCACGTGGACTCATGCACGGCGTGTGATGGCATGGGATGGTGGGTCTGACTGCATTGGATGGGGTGTGTGATGGCATGGGATGGTGGGTCTGACTGCATTGGATGGGGTGTGTGATGGCATGGGATGGTGGGTGTGACTGCATTGGATAGGGTGTGTGATGGCATGGGATGGTGGGTGTGACTGCATTGGATGGGGTGTGTGATGGCATGGGATGGTGGGTGTGACTGCATTGGATGGGGTGTGTGATGGCATGGGATGGTGGGTGTGACTGCATTGGATGGGGTGTGTGATGGCATGGGATGGTGGGTGTGACTGCATTGGATGGGGTGTGTGATGGCATGGGATGGTGGGTGTGACTGCATTGGATGGGGTGTGTGATGGCATGGAATGGTGGGTGTGACTGCATTGGATGGGGTGTGTGATGGCATGGGATGGTGGGTCTGACTGCATTGGATGGGGTGTGTGATGGCATGGGATGGTGGGTGTTACTGCATTGGATGGGGTGTGTGATGGCATGGGATGGTGGGTTTGACTGCATTGGATGGGGTGTGTGATGGCATGGGATGGTGGGTTTGACTGCATTGGATGGGGTGTGTGATGGCATGGGATGGTCTGACTTCCTGCTCATGCCCCTCATTCACCATATGCCTCTGCGCACCATACTCTCTCTCCCCACCACTGGCCACACGCTCTCTCCCTCCCCTGTTACTCCACATGCCCTGACACACGCACATCCAAAACCGTCTCACCAGTTCACGCCTTGAGAAGCTCCCAGAAAGTTCCACATGTCGTCAGCTTCGCACCACACCTTCCCTCCGTTGCATTCCCCTCCGCTCCGCTCCTCCGTTGCTCTCACCTCTGCGGCAGCAGCCATGTCAGCGTCCGAGTCAGCGTGTACGCACTGCCACATTAGTGAGAAAACATGCTATGAGAAGTGTAGATCGGATCAGATCGTATCCGATCAGATCAGGGCTGCGAGAATGGCAGCATAGCCGATTCGCCAGTGCCGTCGACTCTCCCACTCCCTTCATCCCTCTGTGGCTTCTACCACATCCCTTCTGAAGCTTCATCGCTCTTTCTTGCTTCTTCCGCCCTCCTCCGTCCTTCTCATATTTCCTTTCCATCCGCCGCCGATCCTGCTAAAGTTTTCTCTTTCGGCCACTTCCACTCCTTCCATTCCGTCCGCTCATCCTGCTTCCTCCACGACTCATCGCCACGCAGATGCAATGTTTAACTTCCCGAAACATCTAAATAAGGAAACTTCCCAGCCAGCCAGCAAGCAGGTGTGGATAATAGCTCCCACCACACCACCCACAAAAAGCCAACAAACTATCACACCAGGATGCGTATTGGTGGGGAGTAACGCCATTCTTTGGTAATTTTACTTTATGTTAGTACAATATTCACCATCTTCAAACTCGAAAGCCAGACATGGCATAGGGTAGGACTGCTGCTGTATACCCGAGGACCTCATGACACAATCATTCCAGGAAAGTCGTCCCTGGCCAATTCTTGGACATCTTGAGCATCTGTAGAAATCCTCTGGAGCAACTTAAGGCCCTTAAGCCACTTCAGGCCAGCAGCGGTAATCTGAGCACCCCACAACCCCAGCCCCTCCAAGCGATTCAAATTCCTCAGGTGCTTCATGCTGGCGTTGGTCACCCCTGGAGGAAGGATGAGGAGCTTCAGTGAGGTGAGATCAGTCAAGTGCTGCAGCCTGTCCCCCCTCACTTCAGTGTCGTTTAGGGTGAGAAATTCTAGTGATGTCATGTTGCACACATGCACCATGCTGGCAGAGGTGACCGCGGGGCAGTCGTCTATGAACAGTCTCTTAAGTGCAGGCAACCACTCCAGCTTCGCTTTTCCCGCATCGGTTATCTCGTTGTCTGCGAGATAAAGTTCCTAAAGGTTCCTCAGGCCAGCAATGCCTTCAAGAGCAGCGTCTGTTGTGGCCGTACCGCAGAGATCGAGAACTGTCAGGCCGGTGAGGGAAAATAGCCGTCTCACTCCCGCATCAGTGAACCCGGAGGAATGTCTGTGGTTCAGTACGGTTAGAGAGTGCAAGCTGCGGAGTTTGGAAAGAGCAGTGTTGGTGACGCAAGGGATGCCGCTGAGGTTCAAGTATGTCACGTCTGGGACTGCTTCGCTCCACAGTGTTATAAGTGCCTGCAGCCACGGATAGCAACAGATTCCAACATGGAGATGGAGTGGCAAGATCACCTGAGATGGTTTTCTATGCAACATGGCAATGAAAAGGCTGCGCGTGCACTCGTGTGTGCCACACAGGCTGCAGGTGATAGTGGCGAAAACTGTTTCGTCCACGCACGTAAGAAGAAAGAAATAAATTAAAAAATATAAAACTAAACAAACAAACGACCATCCAGACCATCGCGCACTCACCTCCCACGTCCTTCCTCCTACAACGCTCATTGCCTCCAGAGCTTCCACTCGCGTCCTGAGCCCCTTCAGCTCTGCCTCTGTGTCGCACGTAGCACTACTATTCCCCACCCCTTGCGCTGCGGCCTGCCTTTCCACCTCATTCCCCGTTTCAACTGGCAGGACACCACCAGTTGCAACCAAAGCATGTCCAGCCGCATCCACCAACCCCTCCTTTTTCCCCGTCGCCTCCCGCTTCCGCTTCTTCCCCTCGCGCCGCCTCTCAGGCCCCTCATGCTTTCCCGCGCTGCCCTCCTTGCGCTCGTCGCGGCTCCTCCCCGCGCCGCCGTCCTTGAGCGCGGCGAGCGCCAGCTCGAGGTCGTTGATGCGCGCCTCCGAGTGCGCCGCCGTCGCCTTCACATACGCCACCTCCGCCACCTGCCGCTCTGCCAAAGCCCTCCATTGGGCAAGTTCCGCCTTATGTGTGCCCATCTCTCCTGTGAGAGTACGACGGCTTATGCCAGCTATGCTTGCTTGCCTTTACTTTATCATGCTATTTCTGGCATAGGATAATCATATGCATGAATTGCTTGATTTCCTAGGCTAGGTGCTTTCCTATATTTTATTATAGTCATAGCACCGAGCTAGGTTGCGTGCACTGAATTCTGGCCTTTTCGGTTGCCACCGAATTGCCTTCTACCGAATTCGGTAAGGATCCGTTCGGGACGCTACGCGGCCCGCGGAACCTTCGCGTAACACCTGGTTACGGGGCCTTGTGTCGAGCCTATATATAGCCTCGTGTTGTACCCAAGTGATCATTCAATTCGACTCAATTCTCATTCTCTTTTCTGAGCTCGATCCTAGATCCTCACACTTGGTAATCAGAGCCCGTTTATACGCGAAGTTCTTTCGACCGCTAAAAACCAGTCTTCAAAAACCGCGGGGGCGACGCAGTCAAACATCGATTTCGGGTACGTAAAACCGGTTCCGTGTTTTTCGCTCCCCCTCGATTCGGTTTTCCGGACGCGTTGATGTCAGGCATGGAGGGCCAAGGCGACAACTACGCGACTACGAGCGACATCGCGAGCCTCCGCACCGACATGGAGCAGACGCAGGCGACGCTTCGTCGACTCGAGGATTTTCTGACAAGCCAACCAGGGTTCGCCACCGCAGCAGCAGCGACCGCAGCGACTGCAGCACCGACAACTCCAGCAGCAGTGGCGACACCGACATTTCACGGACCAATGGCACCACTGTCGCCGAACCTCGAAGCAGCACGACCGAGGCTCCCGGAGGCATTCGATCCAAGCGCGAAGGGATCCGACGTCCGGCGATTCGTGGCCACCCTCGAAATTTACTTCGAGGCCATTGGCTGTTCGACCCCGCAACACGACGCAGCAAGGATTCGGCTCGCAGCGACACTCTTACGTGGACCGGCTCTCGAATGGATTTACTACACCGACGTAGCCCGCGGGGAGAAAACGTGGCAGCAGTTTCGGGCAGATTTAATCGAGCGTTTCGAACCAATTAATACAACCTACATGGCGCGGCAGCAGATACACCGACACAAGCAATACAGTAGTGAAACACAAGACAAGCAGCACATGGAGTTACTATTCAACCGCATCACCGACCTGACAGAAGGCGAAAAAATCCAGGCGTACACCGAAGGGTTAAAAATGGAGATTCGGCGGCAGGTGATTGCGGCAAATTACTGTTGAACAAGGAATGAAATGACTAAGAATGAAATGAGTACAAATATGGAAACCTAGAAGTGTGTACCCCCTATAGGCTAACCCACTGTAGCCTAAACAACTACAACAATATATATAATGTTTGACACACCCCCATAGGCGAAGTGGGGGAGAACTAGGGGTCACAAGACCAGTCAAGTAAAGCAAAGCAAGCTCAGGGTGGATCACAATGTCACCACACAATCCGAGCACAAGTTCAAGGCCACAAGGCCAGTTCACATGCACGAGTACATATATATATATAAGACTAAACAAGCAAGAGCAGTGATATATATGTAACAGTACAAAGAGGGTCAAGAGGAGAGCAAGTGAGGCAAGACAGACACAAGACCCAGCTGGGTACAACAGCGCTGATGATCACAAGGCGCAAGTGCCTTGGTGAAAACATCAGCAGTGTTGGCCTCAGAGGCCACGTACGCAAGTCGCAACTGACCACGCTGCTGTAGCTCACGAGCAAGGAAGTAGCGGAGAGCAATGTGCTTTGTTCTGTGCTCCAGTCTCTGCTCTCGACACAAGGCCAGCATGGCCTTGTTGTCGACGTACAGGACTGGAGGAGAACGAGGCGGCTCTCCAAGGTCGGTCAGCAGGTAGGTGAGCCAGCGAAGCTCCTGTGCAGCCATGGCCCCGGCGTAGATCTCAGCCTCACAACTGGAGCCGAGAACAGAAGACGAGCTAGTAACCCGCCACGAAACAGAACCGGAACCAAGGCTGAAGGTGTAACCCTGTGACGACCGCTGCGTAGCCTGGTCGTCAGCCCAAGAAGCGTCCGCGTGACCAGTGAGGACCACTGGACTCCGCCCTCCAAGCACTAGTCCCATGCCCGACGTACTGCACAAGTAGCGCAACACCCTCTTTGCTGCAGCCATGTGCTCTGGTCGGTGTCTCCCAGGAGCAGCATAGCGCGCAAGAATGCTAAGAGGGTATGCAAGGTCAGGTCGTGTGCAGGTCATCAGGTACATGAGACAGCCAACAAGCTCTGCATACGGGCCACTCGACTCTACGGACTCATCCGAAGGCAGAGCTGAGAGCGAGTGGCGAGTAGACAGAGGAGTGGCCTGAGGCGAGGAGTACGTGAAGCCGAAGTGCTGAAGGACCTGCTGCACCATGTGTGACTGAGTCAGGGTAATGGTGCGGCGTGCTCTGTCCCGGGTGATCTGCAAGCCAAGGTAGCTGCGCAGCTCACCCAGGTCAGTGCACGTGTGTCTCTTCTGCAGCTCGGACTTCACGTAGGCGAGTCCAGCAGTGTCAGCTGTGGCAAAGACCAAGTCGTCGACGTACACGAGGATGTAGAACGGCGGCAGAGAAGTGTCGGTGCGCAGAAACAGCGACGGGTCGGCAGTAGAAGGAGCAAACCCAAGTGCCGCCAGCGTAGTCCTCAGTGTGTCGTGCCACTCACGTGGCGCCTGGCGGAGACCGTAGATTGGACGCCGGAGACTCCACTGGGTACCAGGAGGGAAAGACCCAGTGAAGCCAGGTGGGCGACGCAGCCAGATCTCCTCGTGCAGGCTGCCCTGCAAGAAAGCAGTGCTGAAGTCGAGAGAGTGAAGCTCGTAGTCCCGGTGAGCAGCAACGTGCAGTAGTACCCAAAGAGTGGTCATCTTCGGGGTGGGGGAGAAGGTCTGAAAGTAGTCAACTCCCTGCCGCTGACTGAAGCCACGAGCCACGTAACGCGCCTTGAAGACAGGCGGAGAGCCCGGCGGCCGCTTCACCCTGAAAATCCACATGCCACTGACGATGTTCGCCCCAGGAGGGGGGACAGCATCAACGTAGGTGCCTTTGGACTTCCAGGAAGCCATCTCTGCATCCATAGCTGCCTGCCACTGAGAGGAGTAGGGACCCTCTATCGCCTCCGCGTAAAAGCGCGGAGTCGGGATGTCTAGTGCATCCGGGTCTCCCTTAGGGGCTAGCAGTACAGACGCGAGATGAGGTGAAGCGGCAGCCAAGCACTGAAACTCCTCCTGCCTGTCCTCAAGGACGTCCGTGCCAAGGGCACACGCACCCCCGACGGACGGAGGACAGACAGACTCAGATTCAGCGACAAGACTAGCAGCGTAGTCTAGACGACAGCGAGCAGCAAAGTCGACGAGCTCAGCAACTAGGGCAGACGCAGCAGAAGACTCGAAGGAAGGGTCAGTGACGGCAGTAGCAAGGAGACGCGTGACAGTAGGACTAGCAGCACGAAGAGAGGCCGACTCCGGGTCGACAAGAGTAGGAAGAGAGGAAGCAGGAGGAGAAGGCAAAGGGGCACGCAGAGGAGCAGTGGAAGGATGCAGAGACATCCGGTGCGTGCCAGGGGCAGGAGGAGGACGTGGACGCGAACTACGAGCACTAGTGCTAGCAGGACGGACAGGCGACGCAGGGCGAGACGCAGGCTCACGACGCTCAGTAAGTCTGTCAGTAGGACCAGAGTAAGGAGAAGGAGCAGGCAGTGACTGAACAGGCTGTGGACACACTAAAGGAGGGGGAGGACCAGGAGGAGGCGAGAGACCAAGAACCTGCTGAAGGAGCGGAACGAAGTACGGCTGAGGGCGCGCGGCGACTCTTGACACAGCAGGGACAGCACGAGTGCCCCCAGCAGCAGTACCAACGCCCGAGTCCGCAGCACCAGCAGGGACTCCAACACCAGGGTCCTCAGCACCTGTCACAGCTCCAACGCCCGTGTCCTCAGCACCAGCAGCAGCTCCAACGCCCGGGTCCGCAGTACCAGCAGCAGCTCCACTGCCCGGGTCCCCAGCACCAGCAGCAGCTCCAACGCCCGGGTCCTCAGCACCAGCAGCAGCTCCAACGCCCGGGTCCGCATTACCAGCAGCAGCTCCAACGCCCGGGTCCTCAGCACCAGCAGCAGCTCCAACGCCCGGGTCCGCAGCACCAGCAGCAGCTCCAACGCCCGGATCCGCAGTACCAGCAGCAGCTCCAACGCCCGGGTCCTCAGCACCAGCATCAGCTCCAACGCCCGGGTCCGCAGCACCAGCAGCAGCAGGGTTCGTGAGACGAGGCGCGCCACTACGAAGTGTGCAACGGCGCTCGTACCACTCACGGATCCGCTCACGAGAGGGGAGCTCCCGACCAGAAGGAGAAGTGCCAGCACCAGTCTCCGTAGCGCGCCTGGTCCCAGAGGTACCTCTCCGGAGGCTGCAGTACTGTAAGTACCACTCACGCAACTGCTCCAAGGAGAGGTCTCGTCCAGGCGTAGGACCCCCTGGCGGTGCACCGCCAGGCTCAGCACCCCCAGTCACCGCACCCCCAGGCTCAGCACCCCCAGCGTCCGCACCCCCAGGCTCAGCACCCCAAGAGTCCGCACCCCCAGGCTCAGCACCCCCAGAGTCCGCACCCCTAGGCTCAGCACCCCCAGTGTCCGCACCCTCAGGCTCAGCACCCCCAGCGTCCGCACCCCCAGGCTCAGCACCCCCAGCAGGACGAGAGTCGACAGCAACCTCAACAGGCTCGACCGGGTCTACCTGAGACACACCTGAGGGAGCGGCACCCTGAGGGGGGAGGGGGTCTACGACAGCAGCACCTGGCGCGAGGAAGAGAGGCGGGGGTGGGAGCGGGGCAGTGCGGTAGGGGAAGAGACGGTAGTAGGGGACAGACTCGTCAAAAGTGACGTCCTGAGAGGCCAAGACCCGGCGCAAGGTGGCGTGGTAAAACTGCCAACCAGGCGCGTCCGGAACAAAGCCGAGGAAGACGCAGGGAACAGCACGAGAGGAGAGCTTGTCCGCAGACGAATCGCGAACAAAA